TTTGTTGCCATGATGCTTTTTATTTCTTCTTTGATCTCTTTGGTAACCCAATCATTGTTTAATAGCATGCTATTTAACCTCCAGGTGTTTGATTTTTTAATTTTTTTTATTGTAGTTGATTTCTAATTTTATGCCATTGTGATCTGAGAAGATGCTTGATATGATTTCTATTTTCTTGAATTTGAAGAGACTTTGCCTGTGCCCCAATATGTGGTCTATCTTTGAAAATGTCTTATGTGCACTTGAGAAGAATGTATATTCTGTGGCTTTGGGGTGGAATGTTCTAAGATGTCAATTAATTCCATCTGATCTAGTGAGTCATTGAGGATTGATGTTTCTTTGCTGATGTTTTGTTTAAAGGATTTGTCCAGTGGTGTTAGTGGGGTATTAAAGTCCCCTACTATGACTGTATTGCTGTCAATCTCTCCCATGGTATCCTCCAGAAGTATTTTTATGTATTTGGGTGCTCCTGTATTGGGTGCATATATGTTTACCAGAGTTATATATTCTTGTTGAATTGCTCCCTTTAGTATTATGAAGTGGCCTTCCTTATCTCTTGTTAGGGCCTTCACTTTGAGGTCTAATTTGTCAGATATAAGTATTACTACCCCAGCTTTTTATTTTCATTTCCATTTGCCTGAAAAACCTTTTTCCGTCCCTTCACCATCAGTTTGTATGAGTCCTTTGTTCTAAGGTGGGTTTCCTGTAGACAGCAGATATATGGGTCATGTTTTCTTATCCACTCAGCTACCCTATGTCTTTTGATTGGGGCATTTTATCCATTTACATTTAAAGTTATTATTGATAGGTACTTGTTTTTTGCCATTTTTATTCTTTATGTCTGTGTTCCTTCTTCCCTTCCCATTTCTTCTTTTATGGCAGACCCCTTAGCATTTCTTGCATTGCTGGTTTGGTGGTAATGAACTCCCTTAGTCCTTTTCTGTCTGTGAAGCTCCTGATTTCACCCTCAATTTCAACTGATAGCCTTGCTGGGTACAGTATTCTTGTATTCAGACCCTTGCTTTGCATGACTTTGTATATTTCATTCCATTCCATTCTGGCCTGATGTGTTTCTGTTAAGAAATCAGTCGATAGTCTGATGGAAGATCCTTTGTAGGTAACTTTCGGTCTCCCTCTGGCAGCCTTTAAGATTCTTACTTTGTTGTTGGTGTTTGCCAATCTTCTCTAATAAAATGGTAATATGCAAATTAACCATCACTCCGCTACATAAGCCACGCCCACCAGCCAAGCCACACCCACCAGCCAATCAGGGCGAGTATGCAAATTAACCCAAACCAAGATGGCTACAGCCACAGAGAGCAAGGTTTCCCAGGTAACAGAGCAAGCCAAGCTTTCCATAGCCGTTGCAGGCCTAAGCCTCCACTCAAGCTACAAAGTTTCAATTATAGAAGGTAAACAAATTCAAACAAATGGCAACAGAATGGAGCTTGAGAGAGCAGGCCAGGGTTGCCGGCGGCAACAGGGGAAGCAAAGCTTTAAAGCACACCCTGGCCGGGCCCACCCGCTTAAGGCAACAAAGTTTCAACTGTAGAAGGTGAATTAACTGCCACAGAGATGGCTGCCGCCCTGGAGGGAACAGCAGGCTTGGCTCTGCTCCAGGCTACAAAGTTTCAATTGTAGAAGGAAAATAAATCCCAGATATCAGGGCCTCCACTTAGGTTGCCAGGGGGCGTGGCCGGCCTGCAAACCACCACAGGCCCCTCGCTCAGGCTACCCCACGCCCCAAGGGAACCCCACCCTGATCTGGGACACCCTTCAGGGCAAACCAGCTGGCCCCCACCCATGCACCAGGCCTCTATCTTATCTAATAAAAGAGTAATATACAGATTGATCATCACTGCAACACACAATATAGCTGCCCCCATGTGGTCAAAGATCCTGCCCCCATGTGGACACAAGATGGCCACTACAAGATGGCCAGCAGGAGAGGGCAGTTGGGAGGCACCTGGCCTGCAAGGGAGGGCAGTTGAGAGGGACCAGGCTTGCAAGGGAGGGCAATTGGAGGTGATCAACCCTGCAGGAGAGGGCAGTTAGGGGTGACCAGGCTGGCAGAGGAGGGAAGTTGGGGGCAAACAGGCTGGCAGGGGAGCAGTTAAGCATCAACCAGGCTGGCAGTGGAGTGGTTAGGGGGTGATCAGGCTGGCAGGCAGAAGCGGTTAGGGGCAATCAGGAAGGCAGGCAGGCAAGCAGTTGGGAGCCAGCAGTCCTGGATTGTGAGAGGGATGTCCGACTGCCCGTTTAGGCCTGATTCCACTAGGATCGGGCCTAAACGGGCAGTCGGACCTCCCTCCAGGAGTCCCAGATTGGAGAGGGTACAGGCTGGGTTGAAGGACAACCCCCCGCCGTGCACGAATTTCGTGCACCGGGCTTCTAGTTTAATTATAATATGTCTTGGTGTTGTACTTTTAGGGTTCATCTTGTTTGGGACTCTGTGAGCTTCTTGGACTTGTGTGAGTTTTTTCTTCCAAATATCAGGAAAGTTTTCTGTCATTATTTCTTCAAACAGGTTTTCTATTCCTTGCTCAGTTTCCTCTCCTCTGGCACCCCTGTTATGCGGATGTTGTTTTGTTTCATGTTGTCCCAAAGTTCTCTTAGGCTCTCCTACTGTTTTTTAAGTGTGTGTTTTTTTTCTAGATGCTGTTCTGCTTGGGTATTTTTTCCTACCTTGTCTTCTAGATCACTGATGTGGTCTCCACTTCTTCTAGTCCACTCTTGATGCTTTCTATTGAGTTCTTTATTGCAGTGATGTCATTTTTCATTTCTTCTTGCTTCTTCTTCATTTCCTCTTGGTTCTTACACATGTTGTTGAATTAGTCTTCCATCCTTTTCTGAAAACTTATGGCCATTGCTCTGAATGTTTTTCTCTGTCATATTGCTTGCCTCCATTTCATTTACTTCCTTTTCTGGTGATTCCTCCTTTTCTTTCATATGCGGGCTGTTTCTTTGTCTCCTCATGATCACTCCTCTCAGGATTTCTGGTTATGTAGCTCTCTCTCTCCTGCGTTGACTTTCTCTAGGTGATATCTGACCTTTCCGTTGGTGGATAGCCTCACTAGCTGTGTTTAATTCACCAGTTCCTGGTGGGTGCTGTTTGATTCAGCTCTTCCTTCTATCTGCTCTGTGAGAAGGTGCAGGGCCCGTCCACATTTTCTGCACCACTTTGTCTCCCCTTGAGCAGACCTCCCAGGCGCCCATGATCGGGGAGGCTGGATTCTGGCATTCATAGATTCGCAGCTCAGGTAACTGGTTCCTGGGCATTGTGGTTGTAAGGTCCGGGAGGTATCCAAGTTCTCCCCGGTTGAAGGTGAGGCTGGGGTTCTGATCACCGTCGATTTCCTGATCACAACCAGTCTCCCCTTCAAGATGGCACAGCCTCTGAGGCAGAGCTGGCCCTCTGGGAGAGATTTCAGCCACAGTAGAGGCTGCCTGGTCAGGGGGGTGCTGGTCCAGCAGTCTCCAACAATCCCTTGGAATATAGCTGTCCCTTACTCACAAAAACAGACACTCCCTGCACGTCCACGCACTCTCCTTTCTTTCTCTCAGTCACACACTATTTTGCAGCCTGCCATCCCGTCAGCTGCCATCTTGGATATCTCATGATTTTTTAATTGACATAGAAATCCATAAGTTAGTGTGAGCGCTTGAGAAAAAGGATTGTTGAAATCTTTTGACTATACTTCTCTTAAAAATTAACAGCCAAGAGAGACTGGGAGAAAATATTTGCTGAACATACACCCAACAAAGGACTGGTATCTACAATGTATAAATAATTCTTACAATTCAATAATATGAAAACAAGCAATTCAGTGAAAAAAAATAGTCAAAATATTTGAAAAAACAATTCACACAAAAATATGTGGATGGCAAGTAAGCACATGAAAAAATGTTCAACATCATCAGTAGTTATTAGGAAAATATAAATCAAAACTACAATAAGATACAACCACTTCACATCTACTAGTATGCTAAAACTAAAAAGACTGATCATAAGCACTGTGAGAATGGGGGGCAACTGGAACACATACACTACTGTTAGCAATGTAGAATGGCTCAGTCACTTTGGAAAACAATTACCACAATTTGGCATCATCTTTGAAAGTTAAACATATATCTACCATGCGATCCAGCCATTCCACTCCTATTTACCTAAGAGAAAGTAAAGCATATGTCCCTACAAAGACATCAATTTTATAATAACATTCTCTGCAATAGCTAAAACACTAGAAACAATCCAAATCCCATCTCAAAGTGAATAGATATGGAAATGGTGGCATATGCATACAATTCAGCAATAACAGGGAATGAAATAGTGATACCCACAACAACATGACTGAAAGAATCCAGACCAAAGCCCGGGTGGCTCATTTGGTTGGAGCGTCGTCCTGTACACCAAAAGGTTGTGGGTTCTATTCCCAATTAGGGCATATACTTAGGTTGTGGGTTTGGTCCCCAGTCAGGTGTGAGCAGGAGGCAACTAATCAATATTTATCTCTATCCTTCCTCTCTCTATAAAAATCGATAAAAACATATCCTTGGGTGAGGATGAAAAAAAGAATCCAGACTGAAAAATAGTACAAATTGCATTATTCCATTTATATCAAAATCTAGAAAATGCAAAAAAAAAAATCTAGAATGCAAACATCTATCATATAGTGACAGAAAGCAGGTAGCTGGTCACTGGGGGATGAGGGAGGGTGGGAAAGCCTAGAGAAGGGATTACTAACGGACACAAAGAAACTCTGAGGAGTGATGGGTATGTTAACTCTCTTGATTATGGTGATGGCTTCATGGTACATACGTATGTCAAAATGTGTCAAGTTGTAGTTTAAATATGTGCAGTTTACTGAGGAACAATCATACCTCAATAAAATTATAACCAAAGAACTGTGTTTCTTTTGACTCATATTTTTTCTAAGTATTTAATGAAGCATGAAAAACAAGAACAGAAGCCTGTATTAAAAACTATTAAGTACAGCCCTAGCCGTTTGGCTAAGAGGATAGAGTGTCAGCCTGCGAACTGAAGGGTCCCTGGTTTGATTCCCGAAAAAGGTCACATGCCTGGGTTGTGGGCTCAGATCCCCACTAGGGAGTATGCAGGAGGCAGCCAATCAATGATTTCTCATCACTGATGTTTCTCTCTCTCTCTCTCTCTCTCTCTCTCTCTCTCTCTCCCTTCCTCTCTGAAATATATATATATATATATTATAAATTTAAATATATATATATATATTTTTAAACTGTTAATATAATATATATATCTTTTTAAAAAAAAAACTGTTAAATACAGTGTGTAATAGAAAACTACTGGAGCCTGGCTGGTGGGGCTCAGTGGTTGAGCATTGACCCAATAATCCAGGAGGTCACCAGTTCAATTCCTGGTCAGGAATTCACATACCTGGATTGCAGCTCAATTCCAGTGATGTAGATGTTTCTCTCTCTCTCTCTCCCTCTCCTTTGCCTCTCTCTCTCTCAAATCAATAAAAACATTTTTTTTAAATTTTAAAATTGACTGTGGTGATGGTTGCACATATCTGTAAATATTCTAAAAACACTGAATTGTACACTTTAAATGGGTGAATTGTGTGGTATGTGAGTTATATCTCAATGAAGTGTTAAAAAAATCTATCTACTCTTTTTAATATTTTTTTATTGATTTCAGAGAGGAAGGGCGAAGGAAAGAAGATAGAAACATCAATTATGAGAGAGAATCATTGATTAGCTGCTTCTGCGCATCCCACACAGGGGATTGAGCTGGCAACCCAGGCGCGTACCTGGACCGGAATCGAACCATGACCTCCTGGTTCACAGTTAACACCTAACCACTGAGCCATGCCAGCCAGGTTCTATCTACTATTTTTTTTAAATGTATATATTAATTTAACAAACTTTTTAACCTGGAGAGAGAAAATACTATAGGCAAGTATGTGATTAAAAAGTGAAAAGAGCCTGGCCAGTGTGGCTCAGTGGTTGAGCGTCAACCTATGACCCAGAAGGTCACAGTTCGATTCCCAATCAAGGCACATGCCCGGGTTGTGGGCTTGATATCCAGTAGGGGCATGTAGGAGGCAGCCAATCAATGATGTTTCTATCTCGCTCTCCCTTCATCTCTGAAATCAATAAAAATATATTTTAAAAAGAAATAGTCTGCCGAAACGGTTTGGCTCATGGATAGAGCATCGCTGGGACTGAAGGTCCCAGTTCGATTCGGTCAAGGGCATATACCTTGGTTGCGGGCACATCCATAGGGGGTGTGCAGGAGGCACTGGTCGAGTTTCTCTCATGATGTTTTAGCTCTTATCTCCTTCCTCCCTAAAAATAAATAAATAAATAATAATAAAATAAATAAATAAAATAAAAAGAAATAGTCTTTCTCTCAAAGATGATTTGAGAATTATTAGAGATAATGTGTACAATGCTCTTGACACAGTCCATAGCACATGGTGAGCACTCAATACATGTGGATTATCATTATTAAGGTATATATGGTACCCAAACTACAATAAAGGGCCCAAGCTAATGGCAGAAAGGCAATTTCTATCCTGTACACTTTGCTTAAGAAAGTATGGCAACACTTAAAATATTTATAAACTAGAGGCCGGATGCACAAAATTCGTGCAAGAGTAGGCCGGCTGCCTCGGCCCTCGCAGCCTTGGCTTCGTCTGGAAGGTTGTTCGGATGGTCGTTCCACTATTCGGCTGTTTGGTCGATTTGCGTATTATGCTTTTATTATTATAGAGATTTCTATCCCACATGGTTTAAGTATTTTTGAAAGTTAGTAAACAGTAAAAGCTCGTCTATCTAGAATGACTTATTCTAAAGAGTATATATAACAGATTTTACTTATTTATGTAAATAGGAAAAAACCGTATCATGGGTAGGTTAAGTCAGAGTTTTGGAGGACATATTTAGATTAATTTTAAAGGAGGGTACACCATCTACAATGATGTGATGGTAATGACTGTGGAATTTTAATAACACTCTTAAATTCCAGAACTCAGTCTTTGAGCCAAGTGTTTTGAAACCTGGCTTTAAGAACTCCTAAGTAACTCTTCTTGCTTATAAGGGTCCTAAGAATCTTCAGTGTCAGGGCAAAGCAAAACTACACACTCACAGAAAGCCACTTACTTTCTTCATTGCTCTGCTGAGGCTTAGGTGAGAAAGCTCAAGGGTACAAAACCCAAAAGCTCAAATGTTTAAAATATCATGTTGCTCAGCTCTCACTGGAATCTCTTTCCTTTTCCCGCTTCATCTCGTGTTTCCATGTTTCTGCTGAATCCTGGATAATGTCTGAGGCTCTGAATCTTTGGCTCTCTTAAGACATGGTGTCATTTCTTTCAGCTCTTCATTTCCTCAGCCAGGTTGGGAGTTAAATCTTCAATCTCTGCAGGAAGCTCCGTGAATAACCATGACACACCTGTGGGCAGATGAAGCCTGCCCGTGCATCATGCCCCTTCAGGGAAGAAGGAAGAGCCTCCTGGGGAATGAGTTCCTCTGCGAAGATCACCATGAAGTTGCTGAAGGGGTTAAATGAAAGACTTGGAAGAAATGATCAGAAAGAGGCAAAAGTTCTTCTGGGTCAGGACTTGTTTCATCTGTGCGATGGCGGAGGTCCAGGGGAGATCCAGCTCACTTTCTGAGAAGAGGTTTTCCTTGGGGCTTCTTTTAAGCTCGAAGCACCGCATGTGATACATGGCAGTGTAAAGGCTGGCAGCAGCAAGGATGGCGAGGACAACAGCAACGGCTGAAAACTGAGCAACATTTCCATGTTATCAGAGACAAGGCCCAGAAAAGGATGCTGGTAGATCCTACCAGTGCAGCCATTTGGTTAATTTAATAAGCTGAAGCCAACTTTCATGTCTAGTGCAAACCTCAGCAAATAGGGCACACTTTGCTTGCTGAGTAAAGGTGAGCATGCTATGGGAAGCACATGATGACACCATCAGGTGAAGTCACTGAGCCAGTCACCTTCCTGATAGCATTTCCAAGGGAACCAAGGAAGCAGGAAGGCTATAAAGTGGCACCATACAAAACACAACTGTGACAGCTGGAACAGCAGTCAGCCTTCGAGTTATTGTAAAAATACCCAGTCAGGCCATTAAGAGCATTCCAGATCATTAAAATTATCCAGAAGGAAAAAAAATCACAGCATTACTTTAGTGTAGTTAACACTGATGAAAATGACCCTTGGATGTTTACTTAATGTGATCGAACCAAGCCTGACCATTTAAAACACTCATTGGTCTAGGGACTAACTGGGGCGCCTGCAGACATATTAATAACGATAACTGTGGATGCTACTCAGAGCCAGTACGCTTTCACTCTGGGTTTAGTATCATTGCGCCAGAGTTTACATGAATCATTTTATTAAACCCTTAAACAATCCTGAGAAGCAGGTACACTTATTACTCCTACTTTACAAAAGAGGAAACTGAGGGCCAGAGAAGTTAAGAAACTTGCCTAGCTAATAAATGACAGAGCCCGGTCTGACCCAAGGCGGATGGAAAGTACTCAGAGTCTTTTTGCTAGACAGCCTCCCACAAATACACAGAGCCATGCCTTAGCCAAGAGGGGTGGCCTGCGCGTATACCATGGCATAGTTTCACACAATTTCATTAAGAAAGGTTAAAATCTCATTGTTGCTATCCAAGACCATGAACTGAGTTACAATTTGTGGATACCCTGGGACTTTCCAAGACACAGAATATCTTTGCAATGATTCTAATTTTCCACATAAGTGAATTTTCCAGCTAGCCAAAGCTTACCCTCTGAACTCTATAACTTTTATGTTTTAAATGGCAATCCTTTACAAATCTCTCTCTGCCCTCATACAGAGGACCTGGGACATGGCTCTGGTCTTAGAATGTCCTTCAGCTGTGTGAGGAAGTGGCTCTTTGGAGAATCACAAGAAGGCACACTGTGAGGAAGAGAAACTGCCCTAGCTGAAGGGACAAGAAGGGCTCCGTCTCACCTGGGCTTGGTAAAAGGCCACTTCTGAAATCTTGTACAGATGTAACAAACCTTCCGAGTGAAAACTGGAAAATTTAGCATTTCAATCCCTAACGTTATCAGAGTAAGCCCGAGCAATGGGCTTGGTACTTAAAAGTGTCATTTTTTCCATGCAGATTTCTTCTTCCCCCCCCTTTTTTTTTTTTAAGGAAACTGGTCAACATTTACTGTTTGCATAAAATAGCTGATGAGTGGCACAATTCCACTGGACACTAGTTAACTTTAATTGAGTCCAAACCCACTAGCTATGAACATATAACCAGACTTAACACTTTATTCTCTGCATTCACTCAACATTTTTTGAGCTGTTGCCAGAAACCCTAATTTGCATAGAGTATGACTCTACTTGAATATGTTTTAATATATTTTCTAATTTATAAAAGTAAGACTTATCCAAGATTTAGACATGCTTAACTCGTGGCCAAGGAGAGGCGTTTATGGTATTACTAAAGGCCCAGTGCACGAAATTCATGCACGGGTAGGGTCCCTAGCAGCTGCTGGCTGGGGCCTCCCTTCCTCCCCGCCCCCCTCTCCCCCATCTGCCTGCCACACCACCAGCTGGGGCAGGGCAGCCAGCCCCAGCCCCTGGTCGAACTCCCAGTGGAGGGGACAATTTGCATATTAGGCTTTTATTATACAGGATTGTCCACCTTACCTGGGAGGGTGCACAGAAAAGAAACAATGAGGTGGCATCCTTTAGCTAAAGCCAGAGAGAAGGAATAGAAGCAAGCCCTTCATTTTAACATAAAGTTCTCTGTTCATTTTAACATAAAATTCTCCATTTAGTAGTACAAACTTGTATATTTTTTTTGTTCATAAGTAAAATCAGTATTAATAGATTTCCACATGTCCAGAGAAAACAATAAGTTCCAAGTAAAAAAACCTACACACAGTGAAATTGGAAGTATCTCAGGATGACAAAAATATATATAAATATGTACACCCACAATCACTGCCGCCTCCAAAAACCTTTATTCTTCCAACCTTTCTTGGGTATCTTCTTTTTTTTTAATATATATTTTTTATTGATTTCAGAGAGGAAGGGAG